AGTAGATTCCATGTTCAGATATCTATAGATTATATAAAGGCATCATTTTAAGGAAAATTCATTTATTTATTTATTTATTTATTTATTTATTTATTTTTAATAGTAAATTTATTTTTATTGGTGTTCAATTTGCTAACATACAGAATAACACCCAGTGCTCATCCCGTCAAGTGCCTCCCTCAGTGCACGCCACCCAGTCACCCCCACCCCCTACCCTCCTCCCCTTCCACCACCCCTAGTTCATTTCCCAGAGTTAGGAGTCTTAATAATATTATTCTCATACTGACGTAATTGAGTGGCAATTTTGGGAACAAAAATATGGAGCCTGGCTGTGAGAGCAGGAAGGAGAATGTGAGGGGTAACATGCAGCCCTATTTTCTGCTTATTCTCTATCCTAGAGATGGACCGTGAAGACTGGGAACTAGAGTATCATCATTTCCAGTTTCCTCTGAAATCCTGATGTGGAGACAAAGCTCAGACCTGAGGAGCCAGAGGGAGAGATGGAAGCCCAAGGGACAGGGGAGCAGAGGGGAGAAGAGAAGGGAGGGGTGGTGGTGTTGTCAGGGAGAGTCTGCAGGATCTGGTCCAAGTTCATGTGTAGCTGGTTCAAAGAGAGGAGACTGTGACTGTGACCAGGGTTATAGTCAAGGTATCAGCTGTGGGTGCATCTGTAGTGTGTCACAAGGTCACGAAAGAAGATGATGCAGCTAACGTTTGAATGAATACTTACTGGGTGCAGGTTCAGGTGTAGGTACAGCATTTATTCATAATCTTCTTGTCCAGACTGAGGGGCCACGTGCAATTGGGCTCTATGGGTTCACCTGTAAGAGTCTTCCTGCGATGTCTGATACTGTCTCACATTATAGATCTATCCCTTGTGTTTCTATTTCCCCTGTTCAAGGACAGATCTTCCTGCAGAAGATCCCTCCTGCATGTATCTCCAGGTAAGTTTCTCACTGAATAGATGCTCAAAGTCATCATCTGTGGCACCAGGGTTTTTTGTCTCACTTACTTGTTGTCTGAGACACTGTGAGTTGTGGTAGCAGCTCCCACTCCATTGATACAGAGAACACTAAGAGTCAGCCTCTTCCTTGGGATGGAGCCCAGAGAGGAGCAGGAGCCCTGTATTAGCTGAGGCATCTTTGGATCCAGAGAAGCAGCTGCTGACTCTAGAGTCTTGGTACCTATCCGAGTCTGTGTCATAGCACAGGAGATAGCGAGAGGCTCCCTGGCTTATGCTGGAGCCACCATGTATGGTCCCTCCTGACACTGAAGCCACTGCTTAGGGTACACCTGAGTCTAGCTGATGACCCTGGGAATGCAGAGAGGGATAGCGGCTGGTTCAGCACAAGTTAGGACAGGGAAACTGGAAATACAGACACTAATGAATGACTGGGGAGGCATGAGGGACCTATGTAAGGCTGGAAGGTTGCCCTGCCTCCACAAATCCTGTCCCTACTTGTGTGGTGAGAGAGGAGCTTGAGGAAGACAGGAGTCCAGGTCATGGGACACAGCTCCTGGTCCCCACAGCGACCTGGGCTGCCCGAGGCCTCCTTTTCTCTTCCAGTCTATCACAAGACTGTGCTGTCTATGAAAATGGACTCCATCCTGTGACTGCCTAGGCCTCCCTGAGCCTGATACTGGAGCTCAGCTCACACCACACACTGAGAAAGAGGAGGGCAGCTTCACCCCCAGGGAGAGCCCTGGGAGGACACACCTGCTGAGACCATACACAGGCCCTGACCCCAGGGCAACAACCAAGCAGCCAGGTGCTGGAGCCTCAGCTCTGGGCTCACACAGGTGCCTCAGACGCGTGCCCACAGTGCCCCCTCCTGGTCACAGGGTGAACATGTCACTCTGGCCCAAAGCCCTGAGAGCCCAGCTGGTTTCTTCAGCCATCAGGTCCCTGTCTCTATTCACATGTCCATGATTTCATTTCTAGATGTGGAGATTCCAGTACACTCCACATTATTATTTTACTATCTCCTGAGAAGTCTCCTCAAGTTTTGGAGGTGCCTTAATGTTCGTCACTGATAATTTACTATTTTTCTCCCCAGAAAAGATAATGCAAACTTCATATATCTTTATCGGTAAGTGATATTGCTATTAATTCATTTTAGCATCCCATATATCAAGGATTAAAATAAGAATTTCCTACTCTCAGGTAAGTTGAATTGTGTTTCAATCTCCCATTTAGTTATAAAAATGATATCATGACAGAGGATAATGTTCGTTATTTTGAAGAATTCTACTATCAAAGCATGTAATACTGTTGAAAAAATAAAGACCAAAGCAGGGAGCATACATTCTCAGACAATCATTTATTGCCTTCAGTCATCTACTTTCCCATGTGTAGAACCTTCTCCTGTATGAACCCAGATGTCATACATCATCATTTCTCAATAGATTTGCTGTTATGGGGTCTTTTGAGGGACAGTATGTTGCAGGCATGAATATCAGAAATTCTTGAACATAGATGGGTTTCCCAAAATTCAACATTTTGTAAAAAAATGACAATCTTACTGGTACTTAGGTGAAATGTTAGCAAATGTTCATACAGGTGACCTATATTCTGCAGTTTTTTTGCTCATAGGTGTTATCTTCTGTGCTCAGAATGTTTTCCATGATCAAGCTTCTTCCTCCTTTTCTCTGTACTCAGTACCTGGAGGCTAATCAGGTCCTTTCTTTCTATTTTCTCATGAATCCATGGAACCCATGGAATCCAGTCCATGGTACTGTGTCGCCTTCCCCAAAGATGGGGTCTGTGATTTTCTCTCGTCCTCCAACCTAATATCAAGTAACTAGTTCACACTTCCTCTTGGATTAACTTAAAACACCAACCATAAAGAGGCCTGAAAGTAGAAATTATGACATTTGTCTCATATCTAGTCTTCTTCATAGGATTGCTATTAAGTTAAATTTGAATTCATATATCCACTCAATAGACTGCTCTGAACTTATTTTTGGTGTTATGATGGGTATTGAGTTTGTAGATACAGTAATAACAAAAAGCAAACAGAAAACAAGTGTAGAACACAGAGTGAAGAGAGTCATAGGGAAATGTCCTCACATGGCCGATGACCTCAAACCAGTGACCTCCCTGGGAATCTGGAGCCCATTGCTGACTGCTAAGACCCTTCACCTCCCATAGGACATCAACACGGACCTTCTCCATATCCTGTCCACAGCTTGCATTGCTCTTCACAACTCCTTACCCCTTTCCAGGTGCTGGAATGCAAGTACCCAGCCCTGCTCCCCCAGAGTTGGTTCCCTACCCTGTTAGGAGCTTCCCAGTTGTGATCTGAAACCTGTCTTTATTCTCACTCTTAGGTGATGCCCCTAGATGGACTGGTACTAGGGTATCCTGAAAAGAATAAGCAGAGTCATAGGCTAAACTGAGCTGCTGCCGTGTCCTCCACTTTGCTGATGAAAAAAAAAATGTTACTCTTCCCCACGCGCGTGAAACAAATGTGACCTCAGAGAGTATCATCCCAGGCTGAGCAGTAATAAAGAGCCTTGTCCTTGGACTGCTGTGCAGTGATGGCCAGGGAGCCTGAGGTGCCAGACTTGGAGCCTGAAAATGGATCTGGGTTACCTGAGAGGCAATTACTATTACCATAGATGAGGCATTCTGGGGCCATGCCTGGGAGTTGTTGATTTCAATGTGCAGAATTACCTCCAATGTTGGATCTGCTTCCAGTGCAGGAGATCATGACCCTCTGGCCCATGGCCCCAGACACTGAGAGTGGCTGAGTCAGCACAGACTGAGTCCAGGACCCTGCAAGAGGAGAGACACAGAGACGGTGATTCTGGAGACAAGAAGAGGAACAGGACCCCATGTGTCCTCCAAGGGCCCCTTCCCCTATCCCAGAATCCAGCCACCTGTGCAGTGAGTAAGGAGGAAGAAGAGGAGAGGGGACTAGACCATGGTGAAGGTCATCACTGACCCTGCCTTCTGTGGTCCCACAGCTGAGCAAACTCCCCTCATGTCTCCCTTTCCCTCTTCAATCCTTGAGAGAGGGAGTGACAGTGAGTGAGAGAGCCAGAGAGAGAGAGAGAGAGAGAGAGAGAGAATGAGAATGAAATATGCCCATGTACTCTCAGGAAGCCTTTCCTTTAGAGGCCAAGCATGAGGACAAGTGTCCACTATTATTCTTATGTCCTCTCCACTCTCTGAGTGTTTTCACCATGCAAACCCATCATGGGGCCTGGCTCTCTGTAAGACCCTCCTGTGTTCTGAAGCTTGAAGGTAAAGAAGTCCAGTGTCTGGAAGGCCATATCTCTTGGACGAGGATAACATTTTTACATGGAAGGAGACAGTTTGCTGCAGATTGGCTCCCATAGTGATTGTACTGAATCAGACATCAAGTCCTGAGGAGTGTGAAGCATCCATTTATTTTCATCTGTGCAGACATGTGTCCTATACGTGTGGGGTCTTCAGGTCTCAAAAGCACAAGACAGAGTTTCACCACACAGCCCCATTCTTCAAGCTGCCCCTCATTAAAAGCATCCCCACTGTGCCTCCAGGGTTCCCTGATGCCTGCCTTACGGTGACCACAAGAGAGTGTCTACTCTTCATTTGCAAAAGCCAAATGTATGAGAAATCACTGATTAGAACAAATCTGTGAGTGGCTCATTTGTTTGCTTTGAAAAAGAAAATCCACACAATTGTTGACCAGAGACAATGGATGTGAAATATCCCATGTAAGTAGTAAAGGAAATACAATAAGAAGGAAACACTAAGGTTTATTGCTTTAAAAATATTTATTCAGACCCTAGGGCATGAGTATCTGGGCTCTATTCTTTCCCCTAGATGTGCTCCCTGTGAGACACCTGTGCTGCCTCAGGCAATAGCAGAATCTGTGTGTCACTCCTCTCTCCTTAAAGACAGGTGTCCCCACACAGGACTCTCCCCTACAGGAGCCTCCACAGAGGCTTCTCAATAAAACAGACTCTGTGACAAGAATCATTGTTGGAGGGGTTTTTGTCTCACTTCCTCATCAGCTGAGACACTGTGGGTAAGTGTAGCTGCTCCCACTGCCATGACCCGTAGCACAGTAGTAGTCAGCCTCGTCCTCAGGCTGCAGCCCGGAGATGAGCAGGAGCCCTGCATTGGCCGAGGTGTCCTTGGAGCCAGAGAAGCGGTTGGGGACCCCAGGGCCCTGGTACTTATTTGAGTTTGAGTAGAACCACAGGAGAAACCTGGGAGGGCTCCCTGGCTTCTGCTGGAACCAGTTTATGTAGTAGCTGCCAACACTGAATCCACTGCTCAGGGTGCAGGTGAGTCTGGCTGTTGATCCCAGGGATGCAGAGAAGGAGGGCGGCTGGGTCAGCACAGGCTGGGACAGGGAACCTGCAGACAGAGACACTCATGTGTGATAGAGTAGGACCATGGTAAAGCTTCTCAGGACCCAAGCCACGGGGACAGATACAGGGCTTCCCTGCATTTAACTCTACCTGTGCAATGAGAGAGGACCACGAGGAGGACAGGAATCCAGGCCATGATGACAGAGCTGCTTGGTCCCCACAGTGGGCTGGGCTGACCCAGGCCTCCTTTTCTCCTCCGCCCTCTGCCACAGGAGGGGCTGTACATGCAAATACAATCTACGCAGTGCCTGCCAGGCCACTCGGTGAGCCCTGGTGCTTGGGTTCAGCTCACACCACACACACAGGAGGATAGGGTTGGCTTCAGCCCTGAGGAGAGCCCGGGGAGGAAGCACCTGCTGAGGCCGCACACAGGTCCCTGCTCACAGGACTCTGCCAAGCCTCAGAGGACACAGCTGCTGAGTCCCCATCATGAACACAGGACCCATCCCTGATACAAAGGCTCCTTTGAGTGAATGGTCCTCATTGAACAGCTCTGTATGGACCATGCACAGTCCCACAGCAGCACCTGCAGGTAATCTGCAGAAAAATGAAAATGAAAAAAAAATCAAATTGAGAACTTCTATAGAAAATATGTATAAATTAATTTAACATTTTTTCCAAATCTACTCCACTGAAAAGATATGAATCACATGCTTTACTAGATACAAAGTTGTCTCTAGCACAAATTCAAAAAAGTAGAATAATTTTATTAGAAAAGATTGAAAATGCTAATTATTTATTTATTTATTATTTGTTTGGATGTCTCAACTTTATTTTTTTCCAACATTAAGCATAACACCCAGTGCTCATCCCACCAAGTACCCCCTCAGTGCCCATCACCCAGTCACCCCAAGCCCCCGCCCACCTCCCCTTCCATTACCCCTTGTTCATTTCCCAGAGTTAGTGGTCTCTCATGCTTTGTCTGTCACCCTCACTGATTTTGAAAATGCTATTTTAAAACCTCTCCACAGATTGGCATAAGATGCAGACATTTTCACAAGGCATATCTAACAAACACTTGGAGATCTGGTGGTTCCAATGGTTTTGGTTCATATATTTTCTATAACATCTAGTTTATGTGCTGCCAAAGTGAGCCCTCGTAAAACATTTAAAGGAATACAGCGTTCTAGGTTCTTAGGTGGATCAGTGACATTCTCATAACCGGAATGCTGTTTAACTGGAACCCTCTGATTTGTTTCCAAAGTCAGTGTCTGTCAACTGTACCCCTAGATCTCCAACTGTCTTTTATTCCAGACACTGCACTCAGTACCTGGAAGGACAGAAGGGACACACCTACTGAGATGCTGCCTATGTGCATGTGGGGTGTGCTCCTTATATCTCCAGAAAGTTCCATGGGGGAGGAGGTGCTATACTCAGGGAAGCCCGTGCTGGCTGACTGGCTGTCTACTCTCCCTGCCCAGGGCTCTCACAGATGGAAGGAAACAGAGGAGGAGGAGAGAAGCTGAACCAGGGGTCGAGGAGGCCTGAGTGATGACCCCTAGGTCCTGGCAGGTCAGCGTCTTCTAGAAAGCACACTGATACCTGTATCCCCTGAAGGCACTGGGTGCTATCACTGCTGGCAGAGGCCACCTAGGATTGCCCCGGCTTGTCCCACTTGCCTCTGACCCCAAACACTCCCTTCGTCTCTGATATTCCTGGCACCCAGTGAGATCACCTGGGTTTGCTAACCCTCTTTAAAGAGCTGAACCTGATGTCAGAGAAGGACACAGGTAGCTGGGAATTTTGACAAAGGGGGTGTTGGGCTAAGGGAGGCCCCTCTCACTACAGTGGGGCAGCAGAGACCTTGTGTACCAGCTCACCAGCTGAGCAGTCACAGAACTTTATTAGATCATTGATTATAACTCGGGAAATGGAGACTATTTCCCCGTGTAGACTTCCACAGAGCCCAGAGGCCAACACTGAATAGACTAACATCTCAATGATCTCCTCTGTGGTATCTGCGGAGCCATGTGGGACCAGAGGCTTCTGGGCCCGGTTCCAGTGCTGCCTCCACGTCCTTCACATTTACACATGTCTGGAATCAGTCTCTGCCTGTCCTCCTCACCCGCATCCTTGAGAGACCCTGAGCTCCTGGCTGTGTGGACATGGCTAGGAAGATCGTGAGTCACTGGAATGTCTCAGTTTTAAACCTGAATGGGATCAGAGGAGAGGAACATCCTTGGATCCATATTGCCATGGAGGGGCCTCAGACCTTCAGGTACTGGAGACATGGTGACAACAATCTCAGAGGTTTAAGGATCTGCTGAGGGGGCCCCAGAGGGTGCTTTATGACTCAGACCATCCTGGAGACACAGCGCTGTGTGGCCATTGAAGTCTCTGTCATTTGTGAGAAAATAGCCACCAGCCTCACCCTCAGACTGGAGCCACAGATGGTCTGTGAAGGCACACATCTCTGACTTGGAGGCAGAAGGTCAGTCTGGATTCCCTGCAGAGATGGTACTTCCAAAAGTCAGCATTTTGGGGACAGCAGCACTACGAGCTGGAACTGAGACGTGATTAGATCCCGTGTCACCATGGCACCTAGAGTAGATGATGGTGACCTCCTGGTCCAGAGTCTCCAAATCTGATAATGGCTGAAATGCCAAAGACCATGCCCAGGACCTTGAAATAAGGACAAAGAGTCAGAGTGATGGAGTTAGTGTCTTACCAACACCCCAAGCTGAGGACCAAGGTGAAAGAAATTTCCAAGTGGCCACCTAAGGACCCTCTACTGATGCCAGAGCCCAGTGTTCTGTGTGGTGAGGGAGAAGGGTGAGTAGAAAAGGGGTGCCTGTCACAGTAGAGATGACCAGAGAGCTCTCTCCCTGCCCCCCAGCTGCTACAGAGATGCCCAAAGTTATCTGGCCCTTTCCCTGAGTTGGATGGGAGCTAGACCTCCATTCAGATTGCCCCCCATCCCTCCTGACCGCCCCACCCTCTCTATCAACCAGATTGAATCCCCTCTGCCTTGGAGTTTGCATTCCCAGGACCTGGGGCTGGTGACTTGAAGGCCTTGGGGGGAAGGAGGCCTCCCTGAGCAGAGGGCACCAGCCCAGCCCCTAGGTATTGGGGCCACAGGTCCAGGCTCACCCTTGTGGCTCAGACTTGTGCCCACAGCACCCCTAGTAGTTGCGGTGCACATTGCACCACATGGGAAAGGCAGTGTCCGCACCTGCCTGGGGGAGGGACAGGTTCTCCTTGACAAGTGTCATTACCACCGCCCCCTCCTCACACATGGGATGGATTCCTCACCCTGGAGCCCCTCACTAGGCTGCAACCTCCTCACCACCACACACCCCGCAATTCCTAGAGTCGCATCTTGGAGGGGGGTGCCATGAGACATAGCCCCTGAGGGAGGATATGTCCTGCTGTCAGTACCCCAGGATGGAGCCCTGGTAAAGCCATATCCCATTCTTTGGGAAGGCTGGGGAGATCCTCCTCTCTCTGACCTCACTGAGGTGCAATCCATCCCCTAGCCCCATCCCTTTATTCCTCTCCTGTCCATCCCCAGTGGGGAGCCAAGTGTCCATCAACAAGGACCATGAAGAAAGGTGTGAGAAGAGGCTGCTCCATAGCATCAGAAATACCCAGATTAGCTCATTATGTCCCACCTTTCAGCACAGCTGTCCCAGCAGGACCTGGGGCTGGAGCCCTGACCTGAGGGGTGGCGTCTTCTCAAAGGGTACAGGGGTCAGGATGAAAGGGGGCACCAGTGGGAGGGGAGACTGAAGAGAGAAGAGGATGAGGGATAAGCCTCCTAGGACACCCTGAAAGTGGGCCTTGAGAGGCTGAGCAGGGCTGAGTGACAGGAAAACAGGCTTCACGCTGTCCTCGGTCCCCATGGGGACTGTTAGAAAATGACATGAATTCTCCATTAGATTGAACAATCCTTTGGTGCTGATCTGTTCTGAAGAGGTGTCATGGGAGAGGCCTGGGAATCTGCACAGTCACCCCAGACTGTCCCCAGCACCCACCTGCTCCAGAAATACCTACAGAAAATGTGTACGGTGTTCTGCTTTTCTCACCCTCACTCAATCGCTCTTTCATCTCCCTCTATCTCTCTCTTAACTTTCTCACACTCTCTCGATCTCTCTCTCTGCCTCTGATTCTTGATTTTAGCTCATATCATGATCTTAGAGTCATGAGTTCAAGCCCGAGTTGGGCTCTGCCCTCCACAGCAAGTCTTCTTCTCTCCTTCTTCCTCTCTCTCTGCCCCTCCCCCTGCTTACACTGCTGTCTCTCCCCTGAAATAAATGAACAAATCTAAAAAGAATGTGTGTGCTTGGGCGTTGACTTATTAATCAGAATATATGTCTAAGCATAAATTTTAAAAAGTATATAATTTATTGTATATTCAAAATTATACACATGTACACACACACACACACACACACACACACACTTTTTTTTTTCCTCTCCACATTCACCACAACAGAAACATACCTTGGAAACTTTGTGCTATGTCTTTCTGAAATTTCAGTGAAAAGTTATATTTTACATGCACAATGAGACAGAGTTTGCTCCTGAATCATAGAGAAAGTTTTCAGTAAGTGCAGAGACTTAGCTGAATTCAGCAAATAGGTGCCATATAGAGTTGATGAAAAGTAAATTTGCAGAACTTGATCATTTTTCAGAGAAAATAAAAGTTTTAAAATTGAATGTCCAATAATTGTATCTTTCATTGCATTGAAGTATTAACAAAAAAATACAGTGCATATATAAGGTGCAAAACGTGATGATCGGGATCACGTCCGGTGCAGTGACAGGTCCCAGGGACCTATGGACTCTTCTGTACAGGATGTCATGCGCATTCCTCTCAGGGGACACCCTGGTGAGCATGGCTCCCAGTCCCTGCGCACTCCTCACAGAACTGAGGGGACAGGGAGCCTCTCTGCAAGGATGAGAGGTCATGGGAAGAGCCCAGGTGTGCATCCCCAGTGGGTCGTGCTAGTAGAATCTTCACTGTCTGTCAATGTGACCCATATACTTGAGGACCACAGTCATTCCGGTAGCTTTTAATACTGTGACTCACTCCTAGGAATCTCTTCGGCAAGTGCAGGACACAGCTCTGCAGGGAGCAGTGACAAAGTGACATTCATGTAGTGTTTAACTCTGAATCTCTAGAGCAGTATCTTTTGAGATGAGTGTGATAT